CTCCCTCCCTCCCTCCTTCCCTCCTTCCCTCCTTCCCTCCTTCCCTCCTTCCCTCCTTCCCTCCTTCCTTCCTTCCTTCCTCCCTCCCTCCTTCCTTCCTCTTTCTTTTCCTTTCTTCTCTTCTTTTCTTTTCTTTTTTATTTTCTTTTTCTTTTTTGACAGAGTCTCTGTCGCCCAGGCTGGAGAGCAATGGCACGATCTCGGCTCACTGCAACCTCCACCTCCCGGGTTCAAGCCATTGTCCTGCCTCAGCCTCCTGAGTAGCTGGGACTACAGGTGCCTTCACCACGCCCGGCTAATTGTTTTTTGGTATTTTTAGTAGAGACGGGGTTTCACCATGTTGGTCAGGCTGGTCTCGAGCTCTTGATGTCAGGTGATCCGCCCGCCTCTGCCTCCCACACTGGTAGGATTAGAGGCGTGAGCCACCGTGCCTGGCCTTCTCTAGTAATTTCAAAATCGTTTTATTACAAGTCAATAAAATGTAAACAAATTAATAAAATTTAAAACATGCAATAAGGAGGATTTGTTCAATAAAGATAAATTCAATTACCAACAGCTGTTTTTTGTTGTTGTTGTTGTTGTTTTGAGACAGATTCTCACTCTGTCACCCAGGCTGCAGTACAGTGGTGGGATCTGAGCTCACTGTAACCTTTGCCTCCTGGGCTCAAGAGATCCTCCCACCTCAGCCTCCTGAGTAGCTGGAAGTAGCAGGGATTACAGGCTCATGATACCACACCCAGCTAATTTTTTTTTTTTTAGAGACAGGGTTTCACCATGTTGTCCAGGCTGGCCTCGAACTCCTGGACTCAAGTGATCCTCCTGCCTCGGCCTCCCAAAGTAAGTGCACCCAGCCTATAGCATTTTCTTGACATAAAGGTCTACCATTATCTTAATGGTATAGAAAAAAAGTGTGTGTGTATGTATACATAAATATAAATATTGGGACCTATTACCTAGTAATAAAATAGAATTAGTTGAAGTATAGAAGTGAATTTTCTTTTGCCTCAGGCCTTAGCTTTAAATAACATGTGGGATTCAAAGTGAAGAATAACAATGTCCGGTGGCTCATGCCTATAATCCCAGCAATTTGGGAGGCTGAGGCCGGCAGATCACTTGAGTTCTGGATTTGGAGACCAGCCTGGGAAACATGATGAAACCCAGTCTCTACAAAAAGTACAAAAATTAGCTGGGAGTGGTGGTACACCCGTAGTTCCAGCTATTGGGGGTGAGGGTGGAGAGCAGAAAAGGGGCTAAGGCAGGAGGATCTCTTGAACCCAGGAGGTTGAGGCTGCAGTGAGCTGAGATCATGCTACTGCACTCCAGCCTGGGTGACAAATGAGACCTTGTTAACAACAACAACAACAACAAAGTAAAGAATAATCTTAGGCTGGGTGCAGTGGCTCACGCCTGTAATCTCAACACTTTGGGAGGCCAAGGTGGGTGGATCACTGGAGATCAGTAGTTCAAGACCTGCTTGGCCAACATGGTGAAACCCATCTCTACTAAAAATACAAAAATTAGCCAGGCATGGTGGCTCAAGCCTGTAGTCCCAGTTACACGAGAGGCTGAGGCAGGAGAATCACTTGAACCAGGAGGAGGAGGCTGCAGTGAGCCGAGATCGTACCATTGCAGCCTGGGCAACAAGAGCAAAAATTCGGTCTCAAAAAAAAAAAAAAAAAAAGAGGCTTCATCCTCATTAGTATAGTGGTGAGTAACCTAACCCTCCTGAGTAGCTGGAATTACAGGCACCCACCACCACACCCAGCTACTGTTTGTATTTTTAGTAGAGAGGGGGTTTTACCATGTTGGTCAGGCTGATCTTGAACTCCTGACTTCAGGTGATCCACCCACCTTGGCCTCCCAAAGTGCTGGGATTACAAGAGTGAACCACCACATCTGGCTGAAAATTACACATTCTGATGTGGAAATATACAGAACAGTGAACTATACACACTGTGGAAATATACAGAACAGTGAAAATTTTTAAGAATTTAGTTTGAAATACAGATATGCAGGACGTTGCAAATGTAAGAGTAGGGTCAGGAGCAAGAGCAAAGTTGGAGGTGCCACATACTTTCAAACAACCAGATCTCATGAGAACTCACTATCGTGAGGACAGCACCAAAAGGATGGTGCTAAACCATTCAGGGGAAACCACCCTCATGAGCCAATCACCTCCTGCCAGGCCCCACCTCCAACACTGGAGATTACATTTGAACATGAGGTTTGGGCAGGACAGATATCCACACCGTATCAATAGTGCAGAATACCTTTCACCTACTTTCCCCAGTAGTAACATCTTATATAACCTTATACATCATCAAAACCAGGAATGCGACATTGGTTCAATCCTCAGACCTCTTTCAGACCTCACCATTTGATACACTCGTTGTGTGTGTGTAGTTCTATGTATTTTTTTTTTTTTTTTGAGAGTCTCTCTCTGTCACCCAGGCTGGAATACCATGGGGCGATCTCGGCTCACGGTAACCTGCACCTCCCGAGTTCAAGTGATTCTCCTGCCTCAGCCTCCTGCGTAGCTGGGACTACAAGTGCACGCCACCATGCCCAGGTTGGTTTTTTTTTTTTTTTTTTTTTTTTTGAGATGGAGTCTCACTCTGTCACCCAGGCTGGAGTGCAGCGGCACAGTCTCGGCTCACTGCAAGCTCCGTCTCCGAGGTTCACGCCATTCTCCTGCCTCAGCCTCCTGAGTAGCTGGGACTACAGGGGCCGCCACCACACCCAGCTAATTTTTTGTATGGGCAATAATTCAAATTCAGATTATGCCAAAACTGGAAACACAGTTGTATTTTTCCATTATACTGTTGTCTCTGAGGCATACAAATAATATGACACCTGTCTCTCCCTCCAAAGGTGTTTACTCTGTAAAGCTGGCAGGGCCCAACTCTGTTTTTGAACCACTTTAAAGAGTGAATCAAATGCCAAGATAAAGGTAGCTTAAATAATAATACCTTTATTATTGTAAAAAACAAAGCAATGTGAGGCAGGCAGTTCCAAAATTGGTGACTTAGAGGCTGGGAAAAATCCATGGAGGTGTCACATGAAACCAACATGTCTTGAAAGAAGAGTCCTTCTTGGCAAGCTGCCAACACCACTCATATTGGGTTCTCTGGCACAAAGCTGGGTCAAGTCCATGCCCTAACTTGTCAGAGAGGAAGACTCAGACTATTCATGATTTCTTCTAGCAAATGGGGAGAAACAGAGGTCTGCTTCCTTCAGCAGGTTCAGGAGGTAAATGATGCACATTATGTGGACCTCACAGGTGGTAGATGTGATACGGCTTCTGCCTCAGAAACTGTCAGTGACATAAATGGCAAGAGCCATATATGGCAGGTGAGAAAGTCTGACACTTTCTAAATGGCAGGTTAGAAAGTGTAACACGTACCTGGAACTTAAGGGGAATCTGCCCACTGTATATCCTTAGATGTTGGGGCTTCCAGTTCAGGGACTTGTCTCTCTTACCGGTGTACTCCTTCAGTATAATTACACCAAAAGGAACTTGCATATTCTCAGGACAGTTACGGCTTTTCTCCAATGTGAACTCGCTGGTGTTGAATGAGGACAGATTTGCAGCCAAAGGATTTCCCACACTCACTGCACTGATAAGGCCTTTTTCCAGTGTGAACTCTCCGGTGTTGAATGAGGCTAGAACTTTGGCTAAAGGATTTCCCACATTCACTGCACTCATAAGGCCTTTCTCCAGTGTGAACTCTCAGGTGTTTAATGAGGTTAGATTTACAGCTAAAGGATTTGCTACATTCACTGCACTCAACAGGCCTTTCTCCAGTGTGAACTCTCTGGTGGTTCTTAAGGTTGGAGCTATGGCTAAAGGATTTCCCACATTCCCCACACACATAAGGCCTTTCCCCTGTGTGGACTTTCCGATGTGAACTGAAGCTGGAGCTTTGCTTAAACGATTTCCCACATTTACTGCACTCATAGGGTCTTTCTCCAGTGTGAAGTCTCCGGTGGTGAATGAGGCTGGAGCTTCGGCTAAAGGATTTTCCACATTCATTGCACTCATGAGGTCTTTCTCCAGTGTGAACTCTCTGGTGGTAAATGAGGCTGAAGTTTTGGCTAAAAGATTTCCCACATTCACTGCATTCATAAGGTCTTTCTCCAGTGTGAACTCTGCGATGCTGCATGAGGTTGGACCTTTGGCTAAAAGATTTCCCACATTCGCTGCATTCATAAGGCCTTTCTCCAGTGTGAACTTTCCTATGGCTATTGAGGCTGTAGATCTGACTAAAGGATTTCCCACATTCAGGGCACACATAAGGCCTTTCTCCAGTATGAACTCTTTGATGTATAATGAAACTGGAGTAGTAGGTAAAGAATTTTCCACATTCGTTGCATTCATAAGGCCTTTCTTCACTGTGGACTTTCTGGTGCTGAATGAGGTTACATCTTCGCGTACATGCTTTCCCACATTTGCTGCACTCAAAAAGCCCTTCTCTAGTGAGGATTCTCTGGTCCTGAACAAGTGTGTCTGTGTGGCTAAAGGCTTTACTGTATCTTCCCCAGTTGCGATGACTTTTTCCACTGCAAAAGGCCACCACACACTTGTTACTGTTATTTGGCTTCTCCCCTGTTTGAGTGGCCTCTTGATGGAGAAACCTCATGTTGGCCAGGAAGTCTTTCCTGATCTCCCTACAGGTGAAGGGCTTCTCCGACACGTGGACTGTGCAGCTCTTTGTAAATGAGGTTGTGTCCACGTAACTTGTGAAAGGTGCCTCTTTAATGTGCTGCCTCTGGTGCTGTTGAAGATTTGCATTGATGTAGAATTGTTTTCCATATGTGTGTAGTTTCTGCCCACAGTTTGTTCCTTGGTGTTCAGCCGAGTGCAAAATATCTCTCAAGACCAGGCCACATATTTCACAGGAGTAGGCATTCTGGGAAGATGAACCTTCTTTGGAAGTCCTGAACTGTGGCACTCCTTCGACAGAAATTCTCTGTTCAGAAGGTGTTTCCTCATGCTCCACTCCATGCCAACAACCTAAAAGTAAAGAGGTCGTGGTGAAGTACATGTTACCTTTATTAGGAGGAGGCAATGCAATCTCAAATGCACATCAGTTATAGCAAAGAACCAGTATATGGGCCTGTCTTCAGGAAAAGTGAGTTGGGGGTCAGGTTCAGGAAGCACCTGTTGTGCATTACTGGTCCCTAAGGTTATGGAATAGGGAGGGTGGGCCCTCCCAGGTACAGTACACAAGGCTAAGGTATGGCCCAGGACTAAGAGGCATGTTCTACAATTAATTCCTGTGATAATAGCTTTTAGTGGGATCGTATCTGCTGGTGACAAGTGATGCCGTGAAGTGTATGTCCAGGCCCAGGAAAACCTCACTGGAACGGTAACTGGTGTTCAGGGACTAGTAAGGGAGATATGCACACTTCAGGACAAAATAATATTACAGAATGCTACAGAGGGAACAGTGTAAAGAACAGATGGAATAAGGAGTCCGGAGAGGTGAGGATTAGCATTAGCTAGAAGTCAAAATAAAAATGACAAGTAGGAGAAATAACAAGTTTGTAAACTGTTAAGAATGAAGAGGGAAAGGTCAAAGTGAAGTGTCTCGGGCAAAGGCATCAAGACAAGTCAAACAGGACAGGTTCCTGGTGCAATTTAAACACAGACCTGATGACATGCCTTTTCCCAAGTGCCATTCATGTAGGCCAGGCCCTCTCTGATGCCATCTTGCTGAGGCTGGAGTCATGAACATCCTGTGAAGAACAGAGGACACTTCCCCTAGTCCTAGTTGAGCAACTACATGAGACCAGGATGATGTAAGTCCTAAGGGAAAGACAGGACACGTGAGCAACTAACACTGGCCCAGAAGAACTGGGCACAAAAAGAACAAGGAAAGTTAAAGAAGTTAAGTTTGTATAAATTCAAGTTAGTGTTGTAACTTTAGGATGCTAAATGTAATTCCCATGGTGACTATTTAAAAAAAAGAGCTACATAAAGTATACAAAGAACTGGGCATGGTGGCTCACGCCTATAATCCCAGCACTTTGGGAGGCTGAGGTTGCTGGATCAACTGAGGTCAGGAGTTTGGGACCAGCATGGCCAACATGGTGAAACCCTGTCTCTACTAAAAATACAAAAATTAGCTGGGTGTGGTGGTGTGTGTTTGTAATCCCAGGAGGGATTACTCAGGAGGCTGAGGCAGGAGAATCGCTTGAACATGGGAGGCAGAGGTTGCAGTGAGCCAAGATTGCCCCACTGCACTCCAGCCTGGGCGACAGAGCGAGACTCCATTAAGAGAAAGAAAGAAAGAAAGAAAGAAAAAGTACACAAAGGAAATGACAAGGAATTAAAAAGTTTCAGTACAAAAAAAAAAAAAAAAAAAAAAAGTGAGCCGAACACAAAAAAAGCAGTAATGTAGGCAATTAGGATCAAAAAAGCTATAAGGCTATAAGACATGGGGAAAACAAAGAGCAAAATGATAGAAGTCAACCCGTCCTTATCAGTGATTACCTTGAACGTAAATGCCTTAACCTCTCCAAACTTTTAGCTTAAACTCTGCCAAAAGACAAAGATTGGCAGAATGGGTTAAAATGAAAACAACCCATGATCCAACTTTATGATGTCTACAAGAGATTCACTTTAGATCCAAAGATATAAATAAGGTGGAAGTGACAGGCTACAAAAAGATATTCCATGCAAACAGCAAGCAAAAAAGAGTAAGAATGGCTACACTAATATCATACAATAGAGACTTTAAATCAAAAAGGGTAACAAGATATATAAAAGGATATTATATACTAATAAAAAAGGTCAATAGAGCAAGAGGACATAACATTTATAAACACTTATGCACCTAATAATAGACCACCAAAACACATGAGGCAAAAATGGACAGAACTGAAGGGAGAAATGGATGGTTCTACAGTAATAGTTAAATACATCGATACCTGACTCTCAGCAGTGGACAGAAGAATCAGAGAGAAGTGAGAAAACAGAGGACCTAAACAACCAACTAGCTCTAACAAATATATAAAGAGTATTCTACCCAACAACAACAGAATACACATTCCCTTCATGTGTACCTAGAACATTCTCCAGGACAGACCATAAATTAAGCCTCATTTGATTTAGAAAGACACACATCATACAAAGTATCTTCTCCAACCACAGTGGGATGAGGTTGGGAACTCTTAATAGAAGGAAACTAAAAAATTTACAAATCTGTAGAAATTAATACAATACTGAACAACCAGTGGGGCCATGAAGAAATCAGAAGGGAAATAAATTGGAGATACAGTAAAAGCAGTACTAAAGGGGAAATTTATAGCTATAAACCTTAAAAAGATGAAAGATCTCAACTCAACAATCTATTTTTACAACTTAAGGGATTATAAAAAGAGGAACAAACTAAAACCAAAGCTGGCAGGAAAAAAATAATAAAGACTAAAGCCTAGATAAATAAAATACAGAAGAGAAAAACAATAGAAAAAAAAAATCAACAAAACCAAAAGGTGTTTCTTTGAAAAGGTTATCAAAATTGACAAACCTGGCCGGGTGCAGTGGCTCATGCCTGTAATTCCAGCACTTTGGGAGGCCGAGGCAGCGGGTGGATCACCTGAGGTCAGGAGTTCAAGACCAGCCTGGCCAACGTGGTGAAACCCTGTCTCTATTAAAAATACAAAAATTAGCCAGGTGTGGTGGCATGTTCCTGTAACCCCAGCTACTCGGGAGGTCAAGGCAGGAGAATTGCTTGAATCCAGGAAGTGGAGGTTGCAGTGAGCCAAGATCACACCACTGCACTCTAGCCTGGGTGTCAGAGCAAGACTCCATCTCAAAAAAAAAAAAAAAAAAGACAAACCTTAAAGAAAAGCCCTTGACTTGATGGCTTCACAGATGAATTCTACCAATCATTTAATTGGCCGGGCACGGTGGCTCACGCCTGTAATCCCAGCTCTCAGGGAGGCAGAGGCGTGAGGATAGCTTGGGCCCAGGAGTTCGAGACCTGCCTGGGTAATATAGCGAGATCCCGTTCTCCACAAAAAGGAAAAAAAAAAAAAAAAGACAATCATTTAATGAAGAACTAATACTTATCATTTTCAAATTCTCTCAAAAAACTGTAGTGTACACACTTCTAAACTCATTCTACATGGCCAGCATTACCCTGATTCCAATCCAAATGACACAAAGATTGTGTAAGAAAACACAACTACAGACCAATATCCTTGATTATTAATGCAAAAACCATCAACCAAATATTAGCAAACTGAATTCAACAGCATATTAAAAGGATTATGCACTACCACCAGATAGAATTTATTCCTGGAATGCAAGGATGGTTCAACAAACAAAAACTGATCAAAGTGATGGCTTGCACCTGTAATCCCAGCTACTTGGGAGGCTGAGGCAGGAGGATCACTTGAGGCCAGGAGCTTAAGACCAGCCTGTGTAACATAGCAAGACCCTATCTCTAAAACAATTAAAACAATCATCTCAGCTGATGCACTAAAAGCATTAGACAATATGCAACACTTCTTCATGAGGAAAACACTCAGTAAACCAGGAATAGGGGGAAATTAACTAAACATAATAAAATCCATATGCAAACAAACAAAAACAAAAATAAAACCCACAGCTAAAATTATACTCGACAATGAAAGACTGAAAGATTTTCCTCTAAGATTAACAACAAGATAAGGATGCCTACTTTTAGCACTTCTGTTCAATGTAGCAATTAGGCAAGAAAAAGAAAGAAAAGGGACCAAAATGGGAAAAGAGGAGTAAAATTATCCCTACTCACAGATAATATACATGGATTACCATAAAGATTCCACGAAAAAACTGTTACAACTAATAAGCAAATTCAGCAAATAGAAGAATACAAATACAACATGCAAAAATCAGTTACGCTTCTATACACCAATGATGAACAATTTGAAAAGTAAACAATTCCACTTATATCAAAAAGAATAAAACATTAAAGATTAACTTAACCAAACAAGTAAAAGCCTTGTACACTAGAAACTACAAAATATTGCTAAAATGAATTAAATAAAACATTAATAAAAGAAATATATCACATGCCTGTTCATGGACTAGAGGGCTCAATATTGTTAAGATGTCTATACCATACAAAGTAATCTATAGAAAGTGCGATACCTATCGGCCGGGCGCGGTGGTTCAAGCCTGTAATCCCAGCACTTTGGGAGGCCGAGACGGGCGGATCACGAGGTCAGGAGATCGAGACCATCCTGGCTAACACAGTGAAACCCCGTCTCTACTAAAAATACAAAAAAAAACTAGCCGGGCGAGGTGGCAGGCGCCTTAGTCCCAGCTACTTGGGAGGCGGGAGGCGGAGCTTGCAGTGAGCTGAGATCCGGCCACTGCACTCCAGCCTGGGCGACAGAGCAAGACTCCATCTCAAAAAAAAAAAAAAAAAAGTGCGATACCTATCAAAATCCAAATGACGTTATTTTGCAGAAATAAAAAAATCCATCCTAAAATTCATTTGAAATATTAAGAGACACAGAATAGCTAAAACAATTTTGAAAAGGATGAAAGTTGGAAGACTCACAGTTTGTAATTTCAAAACTTACTGCAAGGCTAGAGAAATTAAAACTGTGGTACTCCCATAAAGAAAGACATATAGATCAATGGACTAGAAGAGACCCCAGAAATAAACCCTCAAATATCTGGCCAAATGATTTTTGACCAGGAGAAAGAAGACAAATTTTCAACACATGATGCTAGGAAAACTGGGTATCTACATGTGAAAGAATGAAGTTGGTCCCTTACCTGACACCACATACAAAAATTAATTCAAAACAGATCAAAGAGCTGAATGTAAGCACTAAAACTGTAAAACTCTTAAAACAAGGAAAAAGCTTCATGACACTGGACTTGTTAATGATTCCTTGGATATGATATAAAAAGCATAGACAATAAAAGTAAAACAGTAAAACGGAATTCATCAAAATGAGAAACTTGTACATCAAAGGATCCTATCAACACACTAAAAATGTAACCCACAAAATAAGAGAAAACATTTGCAAATCACGTATCTGATAAGGGAATATCTAGAACACAGATAACTCTTAAAGCTCAGTAAAAAATTATATTTAACACTTCTAATTACAATTAATAAAACCCAATTTAAAAATAGGCAAAGGACTTGAATAAAAACATCATTTGAAGATATACAAATAGCCAATCAGCACATGAACAGATGCTCCATATCAGTAATCTGCAAATCACAACCACAATGAGATATCACCTCACACCAATTTGGATGACTTATCAAAAAAAATCAGAAAATAACAAGTGATGGTGAGGGTGTGAAGAAACTAGAACCTTTGCTGCTTGTGGGAATGTAAAACGGTGCAGCTACCATGAAAAACAATTCTGGTGGTTCCTTAAAAATTAAAAATAACTACCTTATGATCCAGAAATTCTGCTTTTGGGCCAATACCCAAAAGAATTGAAAGCAAGAACACAAATATGTATCTGAACACCCATGTTCACAGTAATATTATTCACAACAGCCAGAAGGTGACAACAACCTGTGTCCACTGATGAAGGAATGGATAAACTAATACATACAAAAGAATATTATTCAGCCTTAAAAAGAAGCAATTCTGATACACATTACAACATGGATGAACCTTGAAGATATTATGCTAAGTGAAGTAAGCCAGACAGAAAAGAACAAATATTGTGTGATCCCACTCATATGAGGTACTTACGGTAGACAAGTTCATACAGACCAAAAGCAAAATGGTGGTTGCCAGGGGATGGGAAGAGTTATTGCTTAATGAGTACAAAGTTTCAGTTTTATAAGATGAAAAAGTAGTACAGAAGGATGGTGGTGATAGTTGTACAACAATGTGAATGTACTAAATGCTGCTGAACTATATACTTGAAAATGATTAAAATAAGCCGGGCGCAGTGGCTCACGCCTGTAATCCCAGCACTTTGGGAGGCTGAGGCGGGTGGATCGCCTGAGGTCGGGAGTTCGAGACCAGCCTGACCAACATGGAGAAACCCCGTCTCTACTAAAAATACAAAATTAGCTGGGCCTGGTGGCACATGCCTATAATCCCAGCTACTAAGGAGGCTGAGGCAGGAGAATTGCTTGAACCTGGGAGGCGGAGGTTGCGGTGAGCCGAGATCGTGCCATTGCACTCCAGCCTGGGCAACAAGAGCGAAACTCCGCCTCATAAAAAAAAAGAAAAAAAGAAAAAAGAAAATGATTAAAATAGTAAAGTTTGTTATATATATTTTACAATTAAAAACAAACAAAGAAGAACACCTTGGAGGAGGTTTTTATAAGAACAGTCTGTGTAGTGTCTCTGTGGTGCAATTCGTTAGAGTGTTCTGCTGTTAATGGAAAGGTTGGTGGTTCAAGAACAGTTTGTGTAAATAGTGACAATGTCAGTGACTGCATTTCATGTCACAGTCAAGCACAAATAAAGGTCGGGTACATGAAGGGAGGGAAAACCGGATGCCATAGATCTAGAAAGTTACCAGACAGGGAGAAGGCAAGTCAGGTGGGATCTATTAGGCTTACTGTAAGATTTGGGTAAGGATTGATCCCAAATCCTTACCCAAGGTGCTTTTAGGCTGGGATGATAAGGGAAGTAGGCTTGCCCTCAGTCCACAACATCTACCCAGGGAACTGGGGAAGGAGGCAGTGCCTATGGTCCAGATATGAGGACAGAGCTGCTCCTGAGGAAAAGGAGAAACACAGAGCCTGGTACAGGGCACAAGGGTGAGTATGAGGGCCTTACCCAGGGAGGATGTAAGTGCAAAGTTCTCCAGCATCACATCGAAGTACAGGTGTTTCTGAGCCTCATCAAGGAGATCCCATTCCTCCCAGGAGAAGTACACGGCCACATCTTCAAAGGTCACACTTCCCTAGCATAATAGGGATTGATGAAACCATGAACAGTCTCACTTTGGAAGACTCAAAATCCATGTCCTCATACATTCTCCTCCCAAGCTCCCTAAGTCAGAAGAGACACCAGACCTTGGTGTCATTGATCCCTGCTGTCTCTTCACATTCCCATTAGTCACTGTTTTCATTCTGTTTTCTACTCTGTATCCTGTCAACACTTGGGTTAGAGAAATCTCCCTCCTCTTATCCCAAACTCCAACTTCCTCACAATAGATGCCAAACTTCACAGAAATGAAGGAAACCTGCAGTTCCCTGAACCAGTTCAGTCTCACCTCCAAGGAGTTCCAAAAGCTGGTACTATCATAAACTTTCACCCCTTTACATTGGCTGCTCCAAATGGAAACACTGGCCCGGACTCAGCACCCTGAGCTCAGGGATTCTCTAGGGTTCCCAAACCAACAGCTGAGAGAACGGTAGGTGAGTCCCATTACACCACAAATCTAAAGAAAATATCTGCGTGGGGAGGGAGGAGGGACATTCCAGACCAGTGAGGGGCTGAGATACCTCCACTTACCTGTGTAAGCTGGAAAAGTACTTCTGTAGCTATGGGAACCTGTGGAAAGACGCAGGCCTCAGAGGAATGTGATCATGGGAGTGCTCCATGGGCACAGACCTTCCCTGTACCCTTGCCTCGGCCGAGAGCCACGTAACTTTGGGTCGACCGTCTAACCTGTGCGCCTCAGTCCTTAGTGCTGCCTCTCACCAGTTGTGTGGCCTTGGAAAAATATTCAACCTCCCTCTGCCTCAACGTCCTCATCCATCTCTAAAGTCTTTTCTTCCACTGAACAGCCTGCAGAGGATTTTTCAAATCCTAACTCAGATGGTGTCTCTCGTTTAAGCTCTCTATGGCTCCCACGGCCCTAAGAATAAAGGTAGATCTCTCTCAAACTTTGTTCCCTGCAGTAACAATGTGGAGCCCAGGTTCCTGAATGCCCCCTTCTCGGTCGCCCATCCAAGCTCTGCAAGCGCCGGTCCTGTCCCTTGTCCCCCTGCCCACCACATCGGATGTCAGAAACAGGGGCCCCACCCACGAGCCTCAGTGTCCCCGACCCTGTGCTACAGAAACGTGAGCTGGTGCCCCTCACTTGGGACTTAAGAATCGCGGCCGGGGGAGGTCCGGAGATCGCAGTGCTCACCGGAGCCGGGTCCCTCAGTGCGGTCGCCATCCGAGTCTGTGGGCGGAGCTGGACCGGGAGCTGCGGGCGACCGGGGGGGGAACACGAGCACCGCTATCCCCAGGCAGGCCTCGCGGGCGGCTCTGCCCCCGACCCTCAGACCTGACTCTCGCGTCTTCACGGTCCGTCACTTCGATGCCGAAGAGGCACACCAAGGAGGCTGACGGATAGAACGGACCGGAGGGCAGCCAAAATGACCGCTGCGAACACGCCAGAAGTCCCGCCCCGAGGGGCACGCCCACACGGAAATGCCCCTGTCTTGGATTTTCATTGGATCAAAGTACTGCCGCTCGACGCAAAGCTTTCTGGGAAATGTAGTCTCCCCAAGGCTGCGGCAGACGGCGCCATGTGTGCAGACTGCTGGGAGCGCTAGGAAACTGAGTCTGCAGCCCTCCAGGGCGACTGAGGGGCTTCGGTGTTTGAGGTCTTAAGTAGGCTGACACTTGAACAACACAGGTTTCAGCTGTGCGGGTCCATTTACACGTAGGCTTTTTTTTTTTTTCTCCCAATAAACGTTACTTCGAGTGTGCTCCTTTAGCTCCCCCACCTCTTGCCCCAGAGACAAGATCAGCCCCTCCTCATTCTCTTGCCTAGCGTGAAGAACACAAGGATGAAGACCTTTATGATGATACACTTCCACTTAATGATTAGTAAATGTATTTTCCGTTCCATATTCTTTTATTTTCCTTTTTTTATTGGGTGAAATGTCAATGAGCCTCTTATAATTTTCCTGATACCCTTTCTCTAGTCTGTTTTAGTATAAGTATAGTTCTTACACTAAAATATATATAATGCATATATCATACAAAATGTGTAATCATATATATATGTGTTATGCGTATATCATGCATATATCATACAAAATGTTAATCGATTGGGAGTTTATGTAATTCATAAGGCTTCTGGGCAACTTCATAAGGCTTCCGGGCAACAGTCGGCTATTAGTAGTTAAAGTCTAGGGGAGTCAACAGTAATACGAGGATTTTCAGTTCCGCGGGGGTCGGTGTCAGCTGTATATCAGTCTCTAGTGTAGAGGATCACTTCAGTATTTAGACATCATTTCAGATTCCATGCAGCCCACCCCAGCAGATGTCCACTGGTAGCTGGAAGTGAAAAAATGTTATCTTATTGCTCTTCAAATGCATGCAGCCTGAAGTGTTAAAGTCACTTTTTGTAGGTTTTGTCAGGGACAAAAGACGCCAGACAGGGCTATGACGGGAAGATAGTGGAGGGATAGTGGGCAGCCCTGAATCCAAATGGACAAGGAAAGTTCCCTGCTTCTGGTGCCCCCAGAAAACGCTCTCCTGCCTGCAAAGTCAGTTTTGTTCATAAAACATGAAGCTTTAATACATGAATGTTCATTTTCCTTGTATAATCAAAATATTTAATTTTTTTTTTTGAGACAGGGTCTCATTGTTGTCCAGGCTGGTGTACAGCGGAACAATCATAGCTCATTGCAGCCTCGACCTCCTGGGCTCAAGTGATCCTCTGGCCTCAGCCTCTTGAGTAGCTGGGACTTACAAGCACACCACCACACCCGGCTAATTTAAAAAAATTATTGTAGGAATGGGGTCTCCCTATAGGGCCCAGGCTAGTCTCAAACTCCTAGGGCCATGCAATCTTCTTGCCTCAGCCTCCCAAACTGCTGAGATTACAAGCGTGAGTCACCATGCCCAGCCAAAAGTTTTTAATGCATAAAATATCAAATTATGATCATTATTTTAAACAGGGCCTCACTCTGTCGCCCAGAAAGTTTATATTATTTTAAGGTACATATATGCACATTGTTAAATGTACACATATACATTTATATATACTAGATCAAATTTCACATTTCACAATAAAAATGATCCTTTAGGACAAATTAATACCAATAAAATAAAATTAAATTAAAAATTGTAAAATGATTTTATCAAATATATAATGTATTTCTTTACACATTTACTACAAAAATTTATAAGTGGAATGACTACTATTGTACATCTGGTTAGATCTCACAATGGGCTTGTCATTGTTTTTAGGAAAAAGGTTAGAGTTCTCGGCTGGGCCTATATTACACAACCAACCATTACATATTGCTTCACCTCCTACCATGTATCTCCTCTACATTCCACACATGCTGGATTTCTTCAGAACCCTGAAAGCTGTGTGTGCATTCACATGCAGGGATCTTTCCAGGTTACTTTTTTCCTACCTGAGACTGCTGAATCCTATTATGCTCTAAAAATTCATACTTTCAGGTAACCAACTGAAAAACTAGTGAAAAATGACACAACTCGTCAGCCACGGTGGCTCACACTTGTAATCCCAGCACTTTGGGAGGCCAAGGTGGGCGAATCACCTGAGGTGAGGAGTTCAAGAACAGCCTGGCCAACGTGGTGAAACCCCGTCTCTACTAAAAATTACAAAATTAGCCAGGGGTGGTGGCGGGCACCTGTAATCCCAGTTACTCGGGAAGCTGAGGCAGGAGAATCAGAATCACTTGAACTTGGGAAGTGAAGGTTGCAGTGAGTTGAGATCGCGCCACTGCATTCCAGCCTAGGTGACAGAGCGAGACTCTGTCTCCAACAACAACAAAAAAGGACAGAACTCTTTATGTCCAAATTCAATGTTTCCATCCATTGCACGTACTCAAAACTTCCCAGTACTCCTCATGAGGTAATGAAGCACAATTAGCTGAAGTAAGTTTTGTATAATCATATAAAATTTTCAGGGCTGGACTTGGTGGCTCATGCCTGTAATCCCAACACTTTGGGAGGCTGAGGCGGGTGGATCACAAGGTCAAGAGATCAAGACTATCCTGGCCAACATGGTGAAACCCTGTCTCTACTAAAAAATACAAAAATTACCTGGGCATGGTGGCGCATGCCTGTAGTCCCAGCTACTCGGGAGGCTGAGGCAGAAGAATCGCTTGAACCCAGGAGGTGGAGGTTGCAGTGAGCCGAGATCATGCCACAGCACTCCAGCCTAGTGACAGTGCAAGACTCCGTCTCAAAAGAAAAAAAAAAAAGAAACATCTTGATTAAAAACCGAAATGGGCAAAGACTTTAGGTTTAGATACCTCACCAGAGAAGATACGCAGATGACAAATAAGTGTATGAAAAGATAATCCCTGTCATATGTCATCAGGGAAGTGAAAATTAAAACAGCAGTGAGATACCACTACACATCCATTAGAATCAACAACCTCTGACAATTGCAAATGGTTGAGAAAATGTACAGCAACAGGAGCTCTCATTGCTGATGGAATGCAAAGTTGTACAGCCACTTTGAAATGGAGTTTGGTGGTTTCTTATAAAACTAAACACACTTTTACCATACAATGTGGTAACCATATTTTTCAGAATTTATCCGTATGAATGGAAAATTTATGTCCACACAAAAACCTGTACATGTATGTTTATAGCAGTTTTATCCAAAATTGGCATACCTGGAAGCAACAAAAATGTCCTTAAGTGAATGGATTAGAAACTGTAGTATATCTAGACAATGGAACATTACTCAATGCTGAAGGTAAATGAATCATCGAGACATGAAAAAACATGGAGGTACCTTGTATGCATACCACTAAATGAAAGAAGCCAATCTGAAAAGGCAATATGCTGTATGATTCCAATTAATGACACTTGAGAAAAGGTAAAAGTATGAAAGAGCAAAAAGATTAGTGGTTGCTGGGGGTTTAGAAGGGTAGGAGGGATGAATTTGTGGAGCACAGAGGATTAGCAGGGCGATGAAACTATTTTATATGACACTCTAATAGTGGACACGTGTCATTGTACCTTTGTCCAAACACAGAATGTACAACACTAAGAGTGAACCCTAATGTAAAGTAGGGACTTTGGGTGATAATGATGTGTCAGTGTAGGTTTACAATTGTTACAAATGTGCCACTCCGGTTGGGGTTGGCGGGAGGAGGAGGGGACGGCTATGCATATGTAGGTGTGCAGGGAGTATATGGATATCTCTTTACCTTTCCCTTAATTTTACTGCAAACCTAAAAGTGCTCTTAAAAACTTAGTAATAGGCCGGGCGTGGTGGCTCAAGCCTGTAATCCCAGCACTTTGTGAGGCCGAGACGGGCGGATCACGAGGTCAGGAGATCGAGACCATCCTGGCTAACACGGTGAAATCCCATCTCTACCAAAAAATACAAAAACTTAGCCGGGCGGGGTGGCGGGCGCCTGTAGTCCCAGCTACTAGGGAGGCTGAGGCAGGAGAACCCGGGAGGCGGAGCTTGCAGTGAGATCCCGCCACTGCACTCCAGCCCGGGCGACAGAGCGAGACTCCGTCTCAAAAAAAAAAAAAAAACAAAAAACAAAAAACAAACAAAAACTTAGTAATAAAAAAAGATTGTGTCAGCACCATAAGGCAGGGTGGGAAAAAAGATAAATTTCACAAAAAAAAAAAAAATTGTGGCTGCCTCAGAGTCATATTCTGCGTCCTCTTGAAAGATAGTTGGGGATCAAAATTTTCCCTGCAGGTGAAGCCACAAGTGGCATACCTTGTAAACCCTTTTATGCGGAGGAATAAGTGTCTAAATAACAAGCATTTCACAGGATAGCAGTCAATGACCCGGCAGTGTAATCAACGGCAAGGAAGAATATGTTTGAGAAGACAGCTGACAAGGAGGTCTGAGATAATGACATGTGAATGGATATACGGGTAATTGTGCACACTGGGGAGATTTGTTATGGTATAAAAACCATCCCCAGCCACTCTTGAATTGTGCTTTGACCACATGATTTGTTTCACTTCCAGGCAAGCTCCTGCTTTTTGGACATTGTACTGGCTATTTCTTTTCCATAGCACATTTTCCCTGTGTTTACAAATCACTCTCTCTCTCTGCTCTGCTTAAATACATGCTCAAATATTATCTCCACTACAAGGACAACCCTGACCTATTTCCTATAGAAATTCTACCTACTTCACATGTTTGTTATTACTTGGTGCTGATATTCTGATATTTTCCATAGAATCTGTCTCTTAATAACTTAGTGTATGTTTTCCAATATTTTCTTTATTTCCAGACCACATCTCTCAATGTGAATAGACTACTTGAGAATACATTTCTTTGTAGGTTGTTCACTGCTGTAAATACAAATCTAGAAGAGCCTGTGAACCAGATAAGATGTTGAGTAATGCTTTCCCTCAACTCTTCCACCTTTGTACTCTCTTTTTACTCTTTCCTTACAAGTTTGTTATTTGTCACCATTCATATGAATGAAAA